AATAGTTTCGGTATTCTTAGTATTAAAATAATGTCGAACCGCTCGAGGTCAGGCGGGAGAAGGCAGTCCTTACGACGGTTCAACGTTACCGCCGCATGGACAGAGAAGAACCCTGTTTCCAGCTTCAGAACAATTGGGTAAAAAGGTCCACATTGAAGAGACCATCCTTCATGGACACGGTCCACAGTCTTGAAAAAGACGTGATTTTACCCGGACACAGGGAGGAGGTGAAGGTGATCCCCGCGCGGGGCCCACACAAAAGCCTAGCCCGTCGTGACAGACGACTTGACATGACAACCGCTAAAGTCAACAAAGCCAGTCCTCATCCAGAACCATCAGAGGTTGTGCGTAACACGATTGAAGCTTACCCGGTCAAAGCCTGGTCATAATCTTCACGGACGGCTCGTGCTTTACGAGGGGAAAAACGCAGCCGCTATAGTGTCCTTATCCAGTATCCCGCAGAGATATCCCCACCCAAGGAGCTATCTGGCCCAAGCGGAGGAAATAGAACGAGCCTCGATGCAGAGATCGAGCCGATACTGGTTGCTCTGAAAAGTGTCCACCAACGCCCAGCAAAGAGAAAAACTTTCCCGGACGTAGTGGTCTCCACCGACTCACGCTCAGCTCTCGAGCATGTGGGGAGGGGCTCGACCGGTACCGGGATGGTCACAGCCATTTTGTAGACAGTAGGCAACATCCATGCGAAAGGCTTGAAGGTAATCTTACAGTTTATCGCTTCGCACTCAGAGGCGTCGCTTCATGACAGGGTGGATTTCTTAGCCAAAGAAGGCGCGGCTCAACCTCAACCAGACAAACCAATGACTCAGCTGGGAGTCACCACTTGGTTAAAAGACCATTTTAGGAACAAATGGCACAGAAGGTGAGATACAGGAGCCACTGGACGACAGCTTCACCGGAAAATGCAGCGTCCGAGCAAGAGCGACCCTGGTGGAGACTTAGACGTGGAGAGCAAAGCCTCATCACCCAAATGAGGACTGGGCACTGCGCGATGCGCAGTTACCTCCACAGATTGGACGACAGATGGGAACCAAATTGCCGCCTATGCGGACAAGAAGAAGAGACAGTGGCTCACTTGGTGGTCACGTGTCTGAGTAGTGGGATGGGGGCCGACGGGAGAGACCCTGAGGCCTGCCTCAATGACTATCTCTACGGTGACGCCCAGAAGATGAGGCGCGCAGCGAGAATAATGGCCGGGGTCCTAAGAGATTGAATCTCGACTCCCAAAAGAGTATTGAACTTTATCAGTATTAAAATAATGTTTTTAACGTCATGCGCAGAGAGGGAGAGGGAGACAGGAAGGGTGTTTCTCAAATGATCAAGACGGATGTTGGTTTGTGATAATTTTTTTGCGCTTGCATTGTTTGAAGGATGCATCTCATAGCATTTTCCATCTGCGTGTGTTATAAAGTATGTGAAGTGTATAAGATCATGACAATTATATGACTCCAACTTGGAGACTTATTTTATATTATTATATTATTTTGTATTGTAAATTGTAATATGTGATCAAGCTACAACTGCAAAACTGGTTATATATATATATATATATATATATATGTATGTATGTATGTCAACTTTCCGTCTGCGGGAGACGATAGATTATCTTTATTGCTTGCAGCTCTTGGTGTGTCTGGTGAGACCAATCCTCGAATGGCAGTCTCTGTTACATTTCACACGAATGCTGTGGAGCAGTATTTACCGGCCTCCCTCCTAGCTCTTTTTACAGCTGTTTCCGCCCTGTTTTGCTCCTCGGCATGTAGTGATCCTGCCTTCACGATGCCCCGCCATGAGGATCGATCCTCTGCCAGCTCCTCCCAGTTTGAGATGTCGATGTTGGCCGACTTCATGTCTCTTTTGCATATGTCTAAGTATCTCAGACGAGGCCGTCCGACTGACCTTTTCCCTGTCGCCAGCTCGCTGTATAGCACGTCCTTTGGTATGCGACCAGGTTGCATTCGCTTAACGTGTTCAAGCCAGCGGAGGCGTCTTTGGATTAACATGGCTGGGACGCTACACATGTTTTTTTGGGACAGGACATCCGTGTTGGGGATTTTGTCTTGCCATTTAATGTCAAGGATGTGGCGCAGGCATCTGAGGTGGAAGCCATTGAGCCTTCTTTCGTGGTTAGGGTATATGGTCCACAACTCGCATCTATACAGGAGTGTGCTCAGTACGCAGGCCTGGTACACCTGCAGCTTAGTTCTTGTTGTGAGTTTGACTCTTTTCTTCAGTCTGGCCTTCCCTATCCTTCCACTTATCTCATCCTCCATTGAGAGGGTGCTCGATATGTTGGATCCCAGATATGTGAATCTGTCAACAGTATATTTATATATATGTGTATGAATATTAATTATAAGTAACGTGGAAGGAGTCTTGATAAGCATCACCGTTACAAAGAGCTTTCTATATATTGAAAATTTGTGCATAGAAGTTTTCACGCTATTTAAAAAAAAAAAATTATCTGCATAGTTGAATTATGATTCATACAAATTATTGTCAACTTCATCTCATCGTAACACTACCCATCGAGAACTCAGCTGTCTTGAAGGCCTTGCCCTGACCCCAGTGGCGTAGCTAGGGATTTGGGGGCCCGGGGGGGGGGGCTTGGCCTCTTTGAGGGCCCCTGCATTTTGGCATTCGAAATTATTTAATGTAAAAAAAAATTCGGACACACCTTTGGGGGCCCCCTCAAGTAGGGGCCCGGGGAGACTTTATAATTCGAACCCCTCTCCCTCCCCTAGCTACGCCACTGCCTGACCCCCTTGAGCATCAATGACCACTTTGACCTGGGTATAGTCCTGTCTTGGTTGAATAGAAAGCTCTTGCTTTTTCCGTGGTGTTCGACACATGAAATAAAATTGTATAAAGCATAAAATTACATCCACGTGACTGGTGACAACATGGCGAAGTTGGACTATTAGAACTTGTTATTTTTTAATTTTTTTTTTCAAATCCAGGGCTCCGGGACCCCCCCCCCCTCCCAACCACCCTCGTTTGCACGCCATTCAGCAATCGTTTCGGGCCGCCACACAAAGCAGTCGCAACCCGATTAGCGGTACCGGGTACCGGTAGTTTTTTAATTTTTTTTTTCAAATCCAGGGCCCCGGGACCCCCCCCCCCCTCCCAACCACCCTCGTTTGCACGCCATTCAGCAATCGTTTCGGGCCGCCACACAAAGCAGTCGCAACCCGATTAGCGGTACCGGGTACCGGTAGTACCATTCTCAATGATCCAGAGGTCTAAGAGAAAACCTCTCACCGTGGCCGTGACAGCTTTCACTATTGGTTGATAAATTTACCCGTCGGACATAATACACGGCCATGATTTTCTTCCACATTGATTTAAATATATAGTCTGCCATCTTCCGTACTTCTGGTTTGACTATATCATCACATTATTAAAATGATATCGCATTAACGAGATCTGAAACCCCCCCAGAGCAATTACATTTTAAAATTATGTTTAACAACGTAGTCAGAACATAATCTCGACTGCTTAGCAATCTGAGGTGCGATGAGCTCATTTCTCGTCTACCTTTGTACCTTCATTTAATTCAAGTAATATAACAAATTAAACACACTTTCGAGAATTTAATGTTAACACTTTTCTTAACTTATCTTATTAAAGAAAAATAATTAAGTAACAGTCGTTGTTTCTGTTAATGTGTATTATAATCAAAGTACAAGTTCCTATCCTGATAAAATTAAAAAAGACATAAGAAATTAATGTTTTGTACTTCCTTTAAAAAAAAAAAATCAGGTTTCAAATCAAGTTGAATGTCAAGAATGTGCTGCTGTTACGGGCAGAATTTACTTAATGGTCTACTTTAAAATCGTTTACGAGAGTATTTACGATTAAAATGGTTCAAAGAGAACGAAGCGTCACGGTTCAATGGCTACTGCACTGGTGGAACTAAATTCGTGAGAATTCAATTCAGCCATCCAAAAGGTATAGGCTAAGTTAAATCAGAGGTGACAACTCTTGGTAAATAACAATCAAGGACTATTGGTTTGAAATGGTCGTGATGCTAGGTGTTCGGTGGAAGGAGCAAGCAACCACCGAATATCAAGGACACGACAGCAAGGGTTGAACAACTCAGGACACTATTTATACATTAACTATAAACATTAACATAAACAGACTATATACGACACTGAAAAAACACAGATTCACATCTTTTCAAAAAAGAATGTTTTTTTTAAAACATTCGGTGCTCCCTCTTCTTTCAGACAAGGCTCCAATATTTTCTAGGTTCCTCTCATTTTTTGTTGTACTCGTTTCCAATTTTGTCGTCAGTAATTCTCACGATTTCGTGTTCCGCTTCCAGCGTTGTAGTTTTTTATTTACACGATTTCACCGCACTGCATTGACACGTGAAAGAACGACTTTTGGACAGAAATAGGTGTACGTAGAAATTGTTTTTGGGTATGTCTTGATGTTCACAACTGAGTCCCCTTCACAAGACGAGCAAAAGCGGGGCAGCCTCTTTAAAGATAACAAATAAAACTCAGCCATTTCATCTTACCCACCAACTAATAAAAAAGTTTTGAATGTTTTGGTACCACATGAAACGGGGAGCGTTGGCATTTTTTCATTGAAGATTCCATTTATCTAGCAGAAAAAAAAATTGAAGGCGTATTATACCTATTCTTTCATTCCCCCCCCCCCTGTTCTAATACATAAAGCGATATCCGTCAAATCTAAAATGGAAGTGAAAATAACTAGCGAGTTACCACTAACGGGGAGCGTTTGCATTTTTTCATTGAAAATTCCATTTATCTAGCAGAAAAAAAAATTGAAGGCGTATTATACCTATTCTTTCATTCCCCCCCCCCCCTGTTCTAATACATAAAGCGATATCCGTCAAATCTAAAATGGAAGTGAAAATAACTAGCGAGTTACCACCCTTCCTGGATGACATAAAAGGACCAATCAGCGATGAGGCTATTGACCTACTTTGGGAGTTGGCCATATTCTCAGTATTTCCGGTGTTCACTGTTGTCGGTGTCGTCACAAACACGTTGAATCTCGCGGTGTTTTCCCGTCTGGGACTCACCAACTCGGTCAACATTTGTTTCTTTGCCCTCGCCCTTTCAGACGTCTGCTGCCTCACGGTCTTCCTCTTCGTGCTGGTGACCGCTTACATTCGGCGTGTCTTTCCGAACCATTTCATCAACTTTCAAGATCTGAGCAGCGTAGCCACGTGGTACTACAGGATGTTCTACGACATCTCCACCATCTCGACCACCTACATCGCTGTACAGCGAGGCTGCTGCGTGGCGCTGCCATTCCACTTCCGGGATTTCTTCACCAAGGAGCGCGTCATCGCTGGAGTAATCTTCATTTATGTTTCCGGCATGGCCTGCTACGTCCCAGTATTCGCCACGTCACTTCTACTGCCCGCAAGAGATTCTCAAACGAATGCAACGCAGGTCAGGTTAGTTTTTAGCTCCGGGAGCGACAAGATTTTAGCCGCCGTGGACATCTTAAAGAAATTTGCCTTGACGTTCGCAGGCGAATTCCTTGCTCTACTTTCTCTCATGGCCATCGTCATTGGAATGAAGTCTGCGTCTGAATTTCGCCATGCGTCGTCACACACTGGCTGCACCCGGGACGGTAATGTAACGTTTGGCGGAACAAACCAGAGAGATGGCGATCAGCTTCATCGGACAGATACCGCTCCAGCAGTATCGAAAAGTCAACGAAAGGAAAAGAAAATCGTCAGGCAAGTACTCTTGATAACCACGGTGTTCATTGTGTGCAACACGCCCCAGATGGTAGCATCAATCGTTGGCCGTGTCGTGCCTGGAGTCGACTTGTTCGGTCACAACAGAAATGTCTACTTCTTAACCTACACGGTCGTCAATGTCTTTGAACTGTTCAATTCCTCTTTCAACTTTTTCATTTACTACAAGTTCAACACCAAGTTCAAGGAGATTGTGGACGATGCTTTGTGTAACTAGCTGGAACAAGTGGCGTACACTGAGTTGGAATATTCTTAACGTTGTCGCACACACACAATTCTCACCAAAACAAAGCAACAAAAAAAAGGAGAAGAACGGTTAAACTATTTTTTAAAATCATGATCTTTGTCGCTAAAAAAAAAAAAATGTGTTGAGAGTTTCTGCAATTATTGAAAAAAAACAACTGTGAATAATAGGGACGTTTAAACAAACTTTTTTTTTGGCAAGCTGGATTTCGGTTTTTACAATCAGGACATGCGTTCCTGTACTTTTTTTTGCTTAGAAATAAATACTGTTGCCTACGTATTATTTCGTATTTTTTTATTTCAAGTAGAGGGTTGAGGGATCCACCCTGTTGTTTTTGGTTTTTTTTTGGGGGGTGGAGGGGGTGGATTTGAAGTCCACTTTAAAAGTTATATACTTTAAATAACTTATTTTTCGCTTTACATTGTAGTTCTAATTGAATTATGGGGAGGGGGTACGGGGGACTGCGATCTATCAACCTGGTAATATCTTGCGAACAATAAACGTCAGCAATAACAATTTCCTACCAGTTGTGTGCATTAAACCGTTTCTTTTTAAATATTTATATATTAATAATACATATACTTGTGGTTTTGTTATTTTATATATTTTTTAAAATCTTGATTTTTTTTTTATTGTTACGCACTGACTTGTATTGGGAGAAATTAATCTCCTATTTTAATTTTAATTTGGCTCGTTGTAAACAGTGCCTAACAAAGGACGATACCATAGAGTCAACAATATTAAAGATACGACACCCAAAACAGTTTCTAGCTACAATTAATAAGATTTATTAAGTCTTAAGATAATTACAAGAGAAAAAAAATATAATGACAATCTTCAACTTACAGTATGGTAGATCTTGTACCGGTACACAGTTAACACAGTTAGAATAATGTGCCAATGAATAATGATTAAATGCGAAATAAACACATATGAGTATGAGCACACAAATACACAAAGCATAATACACGTCTCGTTAAGTTAATAATTTCTATCTGAATCTCCGTCCCTCCATCCGTGCCTGTCAATCCCTTATATAGGTCGCGTAAGCCCTGCCTTCCAGAAAGACTTATGACGTGTTGTTTACATATCTCGGGTTATCCAGCACATTCGAGAAAATACCAGGAAGACAGTCTAACATGTTTAATTGGTAAACACGGTTGTAAACAAGATACATCAAAAGAATAGGCCACGCCCACAAGAGACGTTACTGTCTGCTAGGATTCTAATTTAGGTCAAGTAAAATTCAAGCACACGGAATGTATGCTACATAACACTGTCATTGTGCTATTGTAACCGCAATTGTGCTATTGTAACTGTCATTGTGGTATTGTAACTTCCCTTGTGTTATTGCAACTGTCATTGTGCTATTGTAATTGTCATTGTGCAATTGTAACCGTCATTGTGCTATTGTAACTGTCCTTGGGCTATTGTAGCCGTCATTGTGCTATTGTAACTGTCATTGTGCTATTGCCTCTGACACCGGATGTCATTAATCAAACTGAGCCTGGTGCGCAAAAAATTTGAACCAACGGTTCAGTGTAGTTCTGGATGTCAAGTTAGAATCCTTAGAAAGACGTAGAATTTTAAAAAAAATAAATCATATTGAAAAGGGGGGGGGGAGGAGAGAATGATCTGGAAGACCTGCAGGATCTTAAGCAGGGAAAAAAGACCACATCAAGTTATTTCTCACTTTCACGCTCGTGTGGTCGCCTCGCCATCTTTACATTGGGGCGTTGATCTCATTTGGCGCCGAATCTGCGGACAGTCTGCGGGTCTTCTTTCCACTTACTTAAACTTTGGAGATCATCCTTGTTATACGTTGTCCCAGTTATCAACAAGAGTTAATCTACTCTGGTTGTCAAATACAGTTATCTAATCAAGTGTCCTACTCCAGTTATCGACTCCAGTTAGTTAGACCTACTCCAGTCATCCCTTCCAGTTACTTACGACAGTTATTTAATCAAATTATTCACTCCAGTTATCTAATCAAGTGACTTATTCCAGTTATGTATCCAATTACTTACTCCAGTTATCTTATCAAGTTACCTACTCTAGTTATCTAATCAAGTGACTTACTCCAGTTATCTAATCAACTGACTTATTCCAGTTATGTATCCAATTACTTACTCCAGTTATCTAATCAAGTTACCTACTCTAGCTATCTAATCAAGTGACTTACTCCAGTTATCTAACCAAGTTACTTACTCCAGTTATCTAACCAAGTTACTTACTCCAGTTATCTAACCAAGTTACTTACTCCAGTTATCTAATCAAGTGACTTACTCCAGTTATCTAACCATGTTACTTACTCCAATTATGTATCCAAGTTACTTACTCCAGTTATCTAATCAAGTTACTTACTCCAGTTATCTAACCAAGTTACTTACTCCAATTATCTAACCAAGTTACTTACTCCAATTATCTAACCAAGTTACTTACTCCAGTTATCTAACCAAGTTACTTACTCCAATTATGTATCCAAGTTACTTACTCTAGTTATCCAATCAAGTGACTTACTCCACGAGCTCTCACGTACACACACACACACACGATTAGAAGATAAAACCAGATTTTAACAAAACCAATAGAAAATAACGCTTTTTTTTTTTTTTGGTCTTTATTTTCAACAAAACATTATTATTTTAAAAAAAAACGCTCTGATTATCATATACACTATATAAATTATTTATACAAATTTGGAAATAAAAAAATATATTTTTTTTTATTTTTTTTTTTTTTTTTTTTTTGGTCTTTATTTTCAACAAAACATTATTATTTTAAAAAAAAACGCTCTGATTATCATATACACTATATACATTATTTATACAAATGTGGGAATAAAAAAATATATTTTTTTTTAATGTATATACAAAAAAAGTATAAAGATAACTGTTATTAATGATGTACATTAACATTTAGAAAAAAAGTAATCATATTTTTTTCTAATAACATTTTTTTTTAATCATCCTTTATCACAGTGGTTCTCAACCTCCCTAATGCCACGACCCTTTAATACAGTTCCCCCATGTTGTGGTGACCCTCAACCGTAGAATTATTTTCGTTGCTTCTTTATAAGCATCTGTTTTCCGATGGTCTTAGGCGACCACTGTGCAAGGGTCGTTCGACCCCCAAAAGGGTCGCGACCCATAGGTTGAGAACCGCGATTTATCACACTCGCCAATCCGGTCTTTTTCCTCATTATAAAAAAAAAATTAAAATTACATGAGATGTATGAAACAGCAGCTTTAATTTTTATATAAATTAATGAACCAGATTTCAGTTAAGTAGATGATTCACTATGCACTCGCAAATATGATTCACTATGCACTCGCAAGTATGATTCACTATGCACTCGCAAGTGCAGGAAGGGTTTGGTTCAGAAAACCTTGAGGTGTGTTGTCAAATTCAAATATGGCGTTTCCTATCGTTCCGGTCACAGCGATAAGGCAGGGGACGGAGAGTATGTTCAGAACGAGACCGGTAGTGGCCTGCAGAGATAAGAAACAAGCAATTATTGTATTCGTCAAATACTCTACCAAAAATGTCATCTCCTTAAATCGTATTCGAGTTCATTAAAAAAAAAAAAATTAAATAAAGATGAATCGTCTTAAGGGCTGTCGAAAATTGGAAAGACACGTGACCAAGGCTAACCGTTGACCTACGAAGCCGGGTACCCGACGAAAGGGGGACACGTATAATAGGATTCATTAAGTTCACAGGGTCATCATCATAGTCGCCAAGGTCATGAGGGTCGCCCCCCCCCCCCAAAACCCCGCCGTCCGGATATTTTTGTGTGTCTACCAATGTAACGGCATTCCACTTGACAGTCTCTTTCAGATTTATTATTTTTAGTTACAACACGATCGTGACTATTACTCCCTGCGCCCATTTCAATCAACTCTACTATAATCTCTACTACTTCCCAGGCTGGTAAACTGTGCATGTAGTCGCGTATACCATCATGGGAGCAAAGAAAGACACGCTGACCTTTGAACTCTCGTAACTTTTTTTTAAACGAAAGACGATAGACCCGTACGAACTTATTATTTTTTTTTTATATATAATAAGAGAACCTCCCCAAGAAAGAGAATGTGAATGGCTCGGAGACTTGGTGGTGGCAAAGATCTTGAACACAGTTTGTTGTAACGTCTTCTTAGTGGTCCAATCTATTTTTTTTTAAAATCAACTTTGTATATAGTCTATCAGCTGCTCAGTATGATACAGAAGACAGTTGAATCAGTTAAACTTTGGATGACCATAAACAAGCTCAAATTGAACGATGATAAGACTGAGCTGCTCCCCATCGCGACCGCTCAGAAGCAAAAATCTGCAGATAACACGACATCAATTACTCTTTCAGGAGTGCGTATTGAGTTAGCTCAAACAGTGCGGTACCTGGGTGTCTACCTAGACAGAAGACTTACCTTGGAAAGTCACATTAACATGCTATGCAAGGCGATTTTTCTAGAGCTGCGCAGGATCAGCCATATCAGGCCCTTCCTAACAATTGATGCAACGAAGAGGCTGATGTCTGCATTTGTGCTGTCACGCATGGACTATTGCAATTCTCTCATGGTGGGTCTTCCAGCTATGCTCCTTGATAAAATTCAGATAGCACAGAATAATGCGGCTCGAATTGTTCTCCGCAAAAGCAAGTTCGACAATGCAAAATCGATTCTGAGAGAGTTGCATTGGCTGCCGGTGCGTGCTCGCATAGAGTACAAAATCGCAACTTTGTGCTACCGCTGTCTACATGGCCTGGCGCCGTCCTATCTGAGCGAGCTGCTGACGCCTTATGTACCCAGTAGACAACTCCGCTCATCCGACAGTGGCAAACTCTTGACACCACGTGTTCGCCTTGAGACTTGCGGAAAGCGCACTTTCGCATTTGCTGGTCCAACAATTTGGAACGCCCTTCCACTCGATCTCAGAAACATCCAGACACTGGAGTCCTTTAAAACCGATTTAAAGACACATTTATTTCGCAAACACCTTCTGGGATGATTGTCTACCATATTTTCCATTTAATGCATATTGGCTGTGTTGCTCACAGTTGAAATGGGTTGAAAGACTTTGACATTGTATGCTTGTAATTAGTTTTTGTAGTGTTGCGTTTGTTTTAAATGTGGTAAATTATAGATTTGTTTTTTTGTTGACTTTGTACCGC